TTTTTTTTTTTTTGCAGATTTTCGAGAATTTTGATTAAGTTTTGGATGTGAAGGTTATTGTGATATATATGACAATTTTCTGGGCGCGTGTTACATGTTTGCCAAAGAGATATTCCTTAATATGATACACGATAGAATTTACTCAAAAAAAAAAATATTCCTGTCATTCACATAATAAAAATTCAAATTTCTATATGGAATTCCTAATAATGTCGATCAGAGGCAGTTCGAATATTAATTAAAATTTCGATCAAAAATGGAGTTCCGATAAGTGGAATTCTACTATAGTTAGAAATTATTCGGAGTATCTTCATACGTTTAAAATACTTCCAACATAAATATTCGTCAAGCGAATCTCGTGACCAAAAGTGGAAAGGGTTGGGAAGGTTTTGCAAATACGTGATCGATTGGCGAGCAATTTTTGAAATAGACTCGTCGATTTCTTCGTGTAAAGATCGCGAAGTGTCCTCTCTGCGAGATAGAAAAGGCAATGTGTCTGTACACAAAATACACCGTGACAGTACAGTTAAACGATCACGATAATTCGAACGTGGGCCAGAGCCGAGAATCTCGATACACACAGGGCGCGGCGGCGCGTGTAAAGAAAAAAGAAAAGAAAAAGAAAAAGAAAAAAAAGAATGAGAGCGTCACACGATTATTCCCTGTCACGGTGAATGTTTCGCAATCAGCGCTAATTAAAGTCGATTAAAATCAGACGTAATTGAATAACGTTGGCTTGAATTTATTGCGGGACACGCGATAATTCGATCACAGTTGTCGAGATTCTTCCTCGCTGTGAGACGCGTATCTCTTTTGCCTTCCCCGCAGTGTCGTTGCAGCCTGATTGCAACAGGTGCAAAAGTCACGAAATTAAAAGGACCCAACTCTTGTCCGTGTTACTCCGCTTTCCTCGTCGTTCTTGCCTTCCTTTTCTTCTCTTTTTTCTTTTTTCATTTCTTTCTTTTTTCACTTTTTCTTTACGCTCACGCAAGATTTCGCGTTTCAACGTGTCCGTCACGGCGATAACGTTTGAAAAACTCGCGATACCAGGTAATAAATTGGATCCCGAATTAAATGATGCTCCTGTCGAGATTCGTTATTTGAAACATCTTCGATCTCTACAATCGTTAATTTTCAGTTTTTTTTTTTTTTTTATATATATGTATAAGAATAATTGGTACTGAAAATAACCAGGAGAAATTTCGAAAGAAATAATTCTTATTTTGTTATTATTATTTCAGTGTAAGAAAGTATAGTGCTATCATAAAAAATTCATTGAATGTTCGCGAAGCATCTTCTCGAAACAAATTTTTCTAAGCTATAAACACTTGTTGAACATTGTCGAGCCATTTGTCCAAACATTTTCACTTTGAGATATTAAAAATTCCAAAATGTTAAAATGTTCTTTAACCACTCACCAGAGAAATATTCGAAATAATCGTAAATTACAAATGCCACGTCACAAATAAAATTTCTCTCACATTTCTCAAAATTTGTCAAGCATCTACAAACTCCACTTTTCAAAATATAAATCCAGAGAAATCTTAATAAAATTTCTCTCGCGTACCTCAAAATCTCCAAATAATAAATCCAGAGAGATATTCAAAATAATCTCAAATTACAAGTACCACTTCATAAATAAAATTTCTCTCGCGTGCCTCGAAATTTATTAAACATTTCCAAAAAAATAAATCCAGAGAAATGTTCGAAATAATTTCAAATTACAAGTACCATTTCGTAAATAAAATTTCTCTAGCGTATCTTAAAATTTATTGAACATTTTCAAAAAATAAGTTCAGAGAAATATTTACAATATTCTTAAATTACAAATGCCGCTTCATGGCATGTGTTCATGAACAAAATTTTTCTCACATTTCTCAAAATTTGTCAAGCTTCTCCAAACTCCACTCTTCAAGAAATATATCCAGAGAAATACTCAAAACGATCTTAAATTACAAATAGTGTGTCTCTCTCCAAAATTTATCAAATATATCCAAACTTCACTCTCCAAGAAATATATCCAGAGGAATATTCAAAACGATCTTAAATTACAAACACTGTTTCACAAATAAAATGTCTCTCGCATCTTTCAATATTTATCAAAGAAACGAATCCAAAGAAATATTCAAAACAATCTCGAATCAGAAACACTGTTACTCCC